CTATTGGGAGGGGGACATGCTAAAGGGGCACAGGATATAGGCGATACAACGGAAATGATAACCAGAACAGTCAACATGCTTTTAACCAGTGAAAAACAACTAAACACAATGAAGAAAATTACACGCCATCACCTTTCATGCTTTTACTCTCAGCCTCACAATATAAATCAATAGATACGGCACGGCATCACCCTTCGTGCATTAACTCTCCTAACGTGGCACGACATCACCCTTCGTGCATTAACACTTACAATATGGTACGGCATCACCCTTCATGCATTAACACTCACAATATGACACGACATTACCCTTCGTGTATTAACACTCACAATATGGTACGGCATTACCCTTCATACGTTATCACTCTCCCTTACCATAATGCAATGAACAAATAATAATAGGAAGATATAATAACAAGTATAAGCTTTACTTCAACATTTAGTTCCACAATATCAACCTCAACTTCGAAATCAATACTCAATTATCATCAGAAGATCCGTAAACATGATAAGAATGATCAATTTAATAATATTAGTCTAAACATGGATAACATGAACAAAGGAAGCTATAATTGCAAGAAACCAAGCCCCCGCCCGCATGCTTTAACCCTACTATAATGCATAAGTACTCGTCACCTCACATATACGTTGTTCCCCAATATCTAAACATGTAGCAAATAGACAAACAAGTCATATTCCCTCAAGTCAAGGTTAGACACAACACTTACCTCGCTCCAAAGGCCACTCAATGCTCAATTACCGCTTTTCCTCTACAATCAACCTCCAAACCACTCGTATCTATCCACAAACGACTCAATAATATCAAATATTACTAAAGAAATTAATTACAATGCATAAATTTAGATTCCCCAAACTTTTCTCCAAAAAGTCAAAAATCGACCTCGGGCCCGCTTGGTCAAAACCCGAGGTTCAGACCAAAATTCATTCACCCCGAGCTCGATTATATAATTTATTTCAAAATCCGACCTCAATTCGAGGTCTAAATTCCAATTATGCAAATATCCCTAATTCTACCCAAACCCTCAATTTTCACCATGAAAATCCTAGATTTTAGGTTGAAAACTCATGAAATGTAATGGGTAATTGAAAGAAAGTAGGGTAGAATCACTTACCAATAAATTGGGGAAGAAAAACTTTTAGGAAAATCGCCTCTAAGTCTTCTAGTTTTGAAATTTTTGAAAGAATGGCAAAATCCCGTAAATGGGACTGTTTTATCACTTGGCGTCAGTGTTCATCGCGTTCGCGTAAACACTGACGCGTTCGCGAAGAGCAGAGCCTTAATGGTTTACGCGATCGCGAGAGGCTACACGCGTTCGCGAAGGTTTAGCCCCTGACCTTCGCGTTCACGTAGTGTAACCTCAGTTTCCCTTCCCAGTCTGCCTATTGCTACGCGTTCGCGTGTGACTATTCGCGTTCGCGTAGAGCAATCCCTCCAATGCTCCGCGTTTGCGACAGTAGTCTCACGTTCGCCTAGGAGAAAAACCCACCCAGCCCAGTTCACACATCGCGTTCGCGAGAGTGCCTTTGCTAACGCGAAGAAGGAAACCAGAAGGCACCTGAAACTTGAGGAAAACCAAAATTTCTAAGTTCAAATCATCCCGTAGCCTATCCGAAAAGCCCTCGAGGCTCCAAACCAAACATGCACACAAGTCCTAGAATATCATATGAACTTGCTCGCGCGATCAAATCGCCAAAATAACACCTAGAACTACGAATCGGACACCAAATCAAATGAAATTTTCAAGAAAGCTGTTAAACTTCTATTTTTACAATCGAACGTCCAAATCACGCCAAATCAACTCCGTTTCTCAGCAAATTCGACAGACAAGCCCTAAATATTATAGTGGACCCGTACCGGGCTATGAAACCAAAATACGGACCCGGTATTAACAAAACCAAACATCAGTCAATTCTTAAAATCATTAAACTTTCAAACTTTTAATTTTTCATCAAAATTCCATATCTCGAGCCAGGGATCTCGGAATTTGATTCCGGACATATGCCCAGGTCCCAAATTATGACACGGACCTACCGTTACCGTCAAAATACGGGTCCGGGTCCGTTTACTCAAAACGTTGACCAAAGTCAACTCAAATGGTTTTCAAAGCAAAATTTCATATTTTTCAATATTTTTAACATAAATGCTTTCCTGAAACACGCCCGGGCTGCGCACGCAACTCGAGGAGGGTAAAATGAGATTTTTAAGGCTTCAGATCACAGAATTAGGTTTTAAAAGATACGATGACCTATCGGGTCATCACACTTTTTTTTAGTTAAAACCAAGCCAAACCAATTATGGTCGGATTTTTTTTCAACACTAAACCAAATCAAACCAAACTACAATCAGGTTTTTTTCTCGGTTTGAATCGGATTATCGGGTTGATGTGGTTTATCGATTTTCTTTGTACACCCCTACATTGCATCTATCCTTCTTTTGTGGGACTATATTGTCCACTACTCCCTCCCGTCAACTTTAATTAATTTTTTAACCTTTTTTTGTGATTTATAATATTTAATTTTTTCAAATATTAAGAAGGAATTAATTTTTTTTCAAAGTTGTTCTTGGAGCAAAGAGTCTGAGAGTATTTGTTATATTCCCAATAAATCAATTAAGATTAACATAATTATTTTCATTATTAATTAATACTAAAAGATAAATTTTTTATTATGCTTAAAAAATAATCAATTAACATGGACAGGCGGGAGTAAGTTATAAAATGACAAAAATCATAAATGTGCGTGCGCAATGAAACAATAAAAGAAGATAGAGTATATACTATCAGTACTGAAAATTACCCAATTTGAGCTTCCTTTGTCTCAATGTTACCGCACATTGAAAGTAAGCTGCTATCGGAATTCATCCAAACTAGGGTGTAATGTGGGCCGGTTAGGATCGGGATCGGTCCAGGATCGCAAGCTCACATGGGCGGTGGGCCTAAACGGTCCTAATCGGATAGGACCGGGACCGTGAGGTGGTGGGCCGGGTAGTGGGCCGGTCTTATAGGGGAGGCCCGCGAGACCGGGACCGTTTAGGACCGGGACCGGCTCAGAAATGGGCCGGTTCAAGCGGTCCTAAACGGGCCCAACGGATAATTTTTAAAATTAAAAAAATTTAATCGTTTGGCCATTTAAAAACTAGCCATTTGGTCTACCAAAATAGCCGTTGGCTATTTGTAAAATAGCCATTTAACCCCCCAAATTTTGTTTTAACCCCAAACTTTTTATAATTATACTTTTTTCCTATTTTCAACTATAAATACCCCCTCATTCTTTTATTTTTCTCACAAAATCATTAATCTCTCTCAATCTCTCTCTAATATTCTTCTATAATTGCTTACCTAATTGTTACAATTTGTGCAAAATTGTGAAGTTGGCGAATTGAAGTCTTCAAGTCTTCAACGATAATTATTTTTCAACAAGTTGTTCGTCAATTCGATAAACTCGTTCCAACTCTTAAGTTTTAATATTATAGTTTTGTTTGTTTTATTTACTTTGCTTGATTAATTAAGAAGGCTTATTCCCTAAAAAAAATGTTTAGTAAAAATAAGGAAAAATTCAAGAGTGGTAAATTTAGTGGCCAATCTGTTCCTCCTCCACTTCCCCGGCTCCCCGGCCTAAACCTGTTATCCGTCCTATACCTACTATTCTTGATAGCAATAATAGTTTATTACAATTTACCGAGAGTCAATTTTGCCATAATATTGC